CAGGCTATGCGCTACCGTCGTCGAGGCGGGCTGTCATCAAAAGCGCTAGTCGATCGGTCAAGCTCCAGGAGCGGACACCATCACCTTACGGTCGCCTTGCCAAGCAAACCTTCATGCAACCTCCACCCCATACCAGCCTATCAAGACTTGGGCGCAGTACTTCCAAAGCACACAAGAGTCTTCGCCTTGTCCCTTGCTAAGACTTGCTCCCCCAGATTCGCTGCGATAATCCACCGGCTGCCTCGAAGGAGCAGGTAAACTGGGGTATTGTGGGACGAGTTATGTGCGCGTGGTGCATCGCTTCGCAATATCACGACTGTGGTGGCGCCTGGGGTTGTATTGCCGCGGCCGGTAGCATGGTGATGGGAGTCTTCTGGTCTGAGGGGACTATCTGCCATAAAGCCTTGCGAGGTCCCTGCTTTTGATGAAGGATCCATCGTTGGGCCTCCTAGCTCTGACATCTAACTCATTCTTGCCGATACTACCGTTGAAATTTTTTACTTTGGAATGGGCTGCTTTAACACTCATGCGTCGGGTACTTTGGACCCTCCAGAGGTCCGCAACTGGAGGATCCACACCATTGCTTTGATCGCGTCCATGTCTGCGCTCGCCAGTAAGATATGATTATCAACAGCCCCTGCAGTAGCCAGCTGACTGTATTGTAGTGGGCTATGATACCGCCGTCATCGGTGGTACCATGGCACTCAATTCGTTCATCCGTGATTTCGGTATGAACGACATTGCAAAGTCCAATCGCGACACTATTCAAGGCAATATCGTCTCCACTTTTCAGGCCGGTCAGTCTCATTGTGCCAGTTTTTCAAATCACTACTAATAGATCCAGGTTGCTTCTTCGGTGCCCTCATTGCTTTTCCCTTCGCCGAGAGAATCGGCCGGAAAAGGACCATGATAATTGCGTCCTCCATCTTCCTCCTCGGCGGTACACTCATGACTGCATCTCGAGGTAGCCTCAACATGATCTACGGTGGTAGAGCCGTAGCCGGTCTTGGTATTGGCGCATCCTCCATGGTGGTTCCAGTGTACATCTCCGAGACCGCACCGCCCTCCATTCGTGGTCGACTTGTGGGTATCTTTGAAATTGCCTCCCAGGGCGGTGGTATGCTCGGCTTTTGGATTAACTACGCTACCGATCGGACCATCAATGTCGAGAGACAAGCGCAATGGATCGTTCCACTTGCTATCCAGTTGATTCCAGGAGTACTGCTCCTCCTTGGTGTTGCATGGTGCCCAGAGTCACCACGTTTCTTGGCCAAGAATGACAACTTTGAAAAAGCAGAACAGATCTTGACCAAGATCCGTGGCCTCGATGCCTCACACGCGTACATTCAACATGAGATGAGCGAGATCAGGGCACAGGTCGAGGAGCGTAGTGCAAATCGCCAGGGCAAGAAAGCACAGTTCATGAAGTTGTTCCAAAAGGGTGTGCGAAACCGCATGGCTATCGGACTTGCACTCATGTTCTTGCAGTCCTTCACTGGTGTATGTTCTTCCACTATGAATACCCGTCAAACAGTCACTAACCACAGTAGGTCAACATCATCACATATTATGCGCCCCGTATCTTTGAAACTCTAGGTATCTCCGGTACGTCACTCAGGCTCTTCTCCACCGGCTTTTACGGCATTGCAAAGACGCTGGGCATGATCACCTTTACCTTTGTCGTTGTCGAAAAGGTCGGTCGCCGCAAAGGTCTGATCTGGGGCGCAGCTCTTGGCTGCATTCCCATGTGGTACATTGGTGGATACGTCATGCGAGCTGACCCAGCTGCCGCCGCACTTCGCGGTGATGTTTCTCGCAACGGCTGGGGCTACCTCGCTATGGTTTGTGTATACGTCAACGCCTTCATCATCTGCGCAACATGGCAAGGTATCACCTGGACCTATGCCAGTGAGATCTTTCCCCTCGATATCCGAATGCTTTGTGTCTCGCTCACCACGGCGGACACCTGGCTTGGGTCCTTTATCATTGCCCGAAGCACGCCATACATGATTTCCGATCTGGGCTACGGAGCCTACTTCTTCTTCGGCGCCATTCTCGTCGCCATGGGCATCTGGAGTTTCTTCTTTGTTCCCGAAACCAAGGGTATAAGTCTCGAGGAGATGGACGCCCTGTTCGCACAACCAGTTCACCAGGCTGTGTGGGCCCAGTTGCGCGGTAAACCCATTGTGGTACACGAAGACGTAATAGCAAGAAGTAAAGGGTTGGAGAAGAACGTGGGCATAGAAACCATTGAGAAGATGTAGACCACGGCGGTCAGGGTAGGTTTGGCACGCATACAGACAACAGCTCGTAGACCTCAAGTGGTGTCTTGCTGTCGGTCAAATAAATACAAAAAAAAGTTGCCACCTCCCCCAAACACTTGCACATTTCCCTATTTCCATGTATTACACCACTACCATCTTCCCTCTCTCCACCCTTTCTCGGTCTCGCGTTCACACCTCTGGCCTAACCCACCATATATCCGCCACAACATCACCCTCCTCATCTCTCGCCCACAAATGCAACACATCCCTGTCCCCCATCCCCCGCCTCAAAATCACATAATTCCTCCTCTGCACAACGCCCAACCAACTCGGCCGACTCGCCACCACAAGCGGCCCATGCGTCAACGTCCCCACGCTCCCATTGCTTCCAGGCCAAACACTCAGCTCACCAGCATAATACAGACTGCGGCGCGCAATATACGCAAACGGTGCGTCGAGCGGCGAATCCGGATCTGGGTCTGAGGCGTTGAGCGCGGCGGGCGCGACGATGGTGGCGGACATGTGGCCCGAGGCGTGGTAGAGGAGTTGGCCGCGTGGATAGTAGGTTATGTCGCCGGGGGGCTTGAGGGTGCCGTTGAGGTGCGATCTATGGGGATGGGGCTGGGGGTTAGATGGGAGGGTATGAAGGGAAGGAAAGGGAAGAGAATGGGTAGGGGATGGTACAGTGTATTGTTCAAGAGAAGCCATGCACCACCTATCGCCGCAGCGACATCATAAGGCAGAACCATTTACACGTCCGCCAACTTCCTTTTTTCTTCTTCAAGTGATACAAGCAGCGCGCAAAATCCCCAACGTCAGAGGGAAAATACTCAAAGCAAAGTAAAGGAAAGCAAACACACATCAGAGGACACGACTGTGAACAAACTTTTAACCAAATCCCCCATTATTCTCACCATGTCCTCCCTTACCCCAGATTCAAAAGCTTACCGGCAATTACTGCAGGGCGTTTCCATGCTACATGGCGTCGGACTTTGGGGCCAGGGGTGTAATCACTCTTTCCACATCCTGTAAGGCTTTTCATCTGCGAACCCAAGTTCCCGGAACTCCACAGATGATTCAAATACCCCCGTGTGTGCATGATCGACGATCTGCGTGACCGTTTTGCAAGGGGGAGATGCGAGATGGTAAATTGAGCGGGGGATGTGGATGGTTGGGCTGGATGTTGTTGTGGACGTTTTTCTTTGTTTTACACGGTTGGGTTTGTAAGCATGATACGTGTCGTGAGATGTACTCGTGTGCGCATTGTGACCACAATAGCTGTTTGTGACATGAAGGACATACAGATTCTCTAGATGTAACTTTTCCAAGTGTTCGATCATACCCTCACTAATCCACAGTTCCCTCTCCTCGCCTGTGCCCTTTCCTAGACACAGGCTGTTTGCAACTGGAGTTTGAATATTCTAACTCCCTTGGAGGATATGTATCGATTGCATGCATTTTCATGGAATGCTTCAAATACCTTGATATCTCTCTCGTATCTCTATCCCGTAATAGTACCATCAGCAGCAGCCGATTCACCTAGATTCATTCCAGCAGTTCTAACCAGCTCTTTCTTCCTTTAACCCCTCATGTCCTCACCCTTCCATCCCAACCCCAAATTCTACAACGCACAGCATAAACTCCCCTCATCCTCATCTCCCGTCTCCCCGTCTCCCCCCTCAACCAACCGGTTCCCTAATACTCTGCTACTACAGCACCTGCAATAATTCCCCGTCCGTCCACATTCCCATTCCACCACGTCCCAGCACCATCACCCACCCATCAAACCACCCCAATGACATAAAACATAAAACATGGAAACATGAACCATATCTCACACCACAGTGAGTCTGAGATCGTATCCGTGACGAGGCGGGGGATATGTGCTGAGGTGGGGTTTTTCTACTTTGCAATGTCAATGTGTATAGGGTCTCCAGTCACAAGTCACAAGTCACAAGTCGCCCATCGTCCATCGTCCATCGCCAGTCTCGAAAATACCAGGCCATGCGCGAGATAAAAGTATTCCAATCACAACTCCCAACCCCATCAAAACAACAACAACATCAACGTTGAAACCCCCCTCCCTTTCGTAATTCATTCGTGGCATTGGGTATATACAACAACCCCTCTTATAATCCTCATTGAACGTGAAAGTTCATGCCCTACTGTGCCATCTCACGTCATACCATGAGCCCATCCGCCTCTGAAAAGTAAAAGAGAGAGAGAGAGAGAGAGAAAGGGAAAATGCCCTAGCGCCATTCCAACGCGCTCCCACTTAGCCCGTATCATAAACCAAAGTACCCCAAAATCGAAAGAAAAAGAAAGAGAAAATAGTCTAGTGGATGTGAGAATGAGATCTTTCTTACCCTCACGACTAGGAAGACCAGATAGAGAGACCTCACTACACCACCACAACCCCCCCTTGAAAGAAAAAAGATCGACGAGACGTCTCAGATTTCAGTTTTAGGGGGCGGAGTCCCCTCAGCCACGTCGTCCTTTTCCACAACGACAAAGTCGTCATCGACCTCGTCTGTCTTTTGCCGTTTCAACGATGGCTGTTGCGCGTCGGAGTCTGCGTCTTGGGGATCGACGGTCGGGGCGTCGGGGAGTTGGGATAGGAGGGCAGAGGTTTCGGTGGTATCCTGTTCTTGTTGCTTCTGTTTGTTTGTGTTTGCCTCTTCTGCTGTTTCTGGTTCTGCGGTTGCGGGAGGGAAAAAGTGGCTGGGGTTGAGTTTTAGTTTTTTTGCGTCCCATGACGTGTGAGAGGGGGGGGGGGGGAAGGTTACGGAATCTTTCTAAAATAAGCATCCTCGTCCTTTTGCATAAAGTTGCAAAATATGACTCGATCGAACTTGTCCGCCTGCTCCTCATCCTCTAGAAACTCGCGCACAGTCTCCAACGCAACCTCACTCGCCTCGCCGCTAGGATACCCGTATACGCCCGTACTCAGCGCCGAAAAGGCAATACTCCTGCAGCCATTCGCAGCCGCCAACTCCAGACTCGTTCTGTAGCAGCCCGCCAGCAACTTGGCCGCACGCGAGCCTTCCTTCCAATAGATGGGACCGACAGCGTGAATGACTTTTTTGCTCGGCAGTTCATAGCCGTCTGTAATTTTTGCACTGCCCGTCTCACAGCCGTTCAGGGTCTCGCATTCTTCGAGGAGCTTGGGGCCGGCGGCGCGGTGGATGGCGCCATCTACGCCGCCGCCGCCTAGGAGGGAGGTGTTTGCTGCGTTGACGATGGCGTCGATGGCAAGGGTGGTAATGTCTTGGCGGATGACGCTGATTTTGTCGTTCAGCGAGGAGGAGGCCGGGTAGGCGGGTGTGGCGTCGGTGTCCCTGGGTGCGATCTTCTTGAGTTTGTAGAGGAGCGTGAGGGTGGGGATCTCGTCCAGGCCGACGGTTGTGACCATGGTGCGGATGGCTGTTGGTGGAGAAGGGCTGCGCTGGCCTGTGGAGAGGGGTTTTGCGAGGTAGTAGGAGCTTGTCATTAGTCGTAGGCGATGTAGGAGAGTGAGAGGGCGTGGCATGTAGAATGATGGTCAAGAGGTGCTTGGTGTGGGGGAAGCTCTGCGACTAGGTGGGGTCAAAGCTTCAAGGTTGCGTCAAGGTCCCGACGCCATTTAGGTTGGATCCCCACCAAGTCAGAGACATGCCGCATGGTGGACTCGCAGTGTATGGGAACATGATTCCATACTGCAGCCTAAAATAAAAAAACTAGTCTTGGTCCTCTTGCACCATAAAGAGCAAGGTCAAAAAAAGCACCAGATTTCCACAGACGGTCATGGATTGATCATTTCAGCGTGAGACAAATAACATACACCATACATCATACACGTACACATTACCATGGCCGCTCATTTCCCACTTCATACTCTGGCAGCCTGTTTCTTCTTCTCCGCAGCCTCCTCGGCAATATCCTCGGCCCCATCATGTATTCTCTCGACAATATGCTCTGGCAGATTGTCCTTGGCCCTCTTGTTATCCCTCCCAGCCGCTCTCTCCTGCTCCCACTTGTCCTCCCTCAACTTCTCCTGCCCTTTGATACTCGTCTCGACCTGTTCGACTGCCCGCTCAATCTCGACCTCCATCTCCGGTAGCTCGAATTGCTCTGCAATGAGTTTGCCATTCCACCGTTGCAGCACCATGACGTCTTCCTTCTCGTTGTTGGTCTGCTTGTGAACGACCGAGGCCACTTGGTCGGCTTGTTCTGGTGTGGGCCGGGGCGCTGCTCTAGATAAAGCCCGCGTAGGGTACATGAGTCCAGCCGTGTAGACCTCGTCTAAATTCCAGTTTGCCCTCGGTTTCGGCAGCCCGTGCTTGAGCAGAAATTCGAGATGTTTCGAACCGGATAGAGCTTTCCAATGCGACCATGCACGGTACAGCACGTAGAAGAAGGGCAGGTTGGGGATAATGGGGACGAGCATGAAGGGTGCTGTAAAGGGCATTATGACCACGCTCCAGACCAGTCGTCTTCGGTGGAGTGCTTGGCGATCTTTTGCGAGTTTCTCCAGTATGCCATTCACCCGGGCTTCAGGGAGGTAGCGGCCGGGGAACAAGACCTCATACTTTGCCTTTCCTGCAACATGTCGCGTGATCCGGGACTGAAGCGCTAAGAC